TGTGTTATATATATATATATATATATATATATATATATATATATATATATATATATATATTTGAAAATTTTATAACTTAATATACTAAATGTTATTTTTTTTAAATTTAGATGTATTTTCCGCATCGTTAGCATTTCATCATATATATATATATATATATATATATATATATATATATATATATATATGTGTGTGTGTGTGTGTATATATATATATATATATATATATATATATGCCTGCACATATGCCGTTACATACACACACATCTATATATATATATATGCATAGACACAAACGCATATAATTATATGTGTGTGTGTAAAAATTTAGATATAATTAAAATATATCTGTTAAAAAAACAATATGAATAAAGTTAAAATGAAAAACTACGTATACTTGATATATATATATATATATGTGTGTGTGTGTGTGTATGTATTATATTATATTATATTCTGAAATGAAATTCTTCAAGTTTTAATATTAAAATTTTTAAATTAACTAAATAATTTATTATTATTATTATCATTATTGTTGTTGTTGCTATTATTACGCAGTTAATGCATCTATCAAAATGTATTAATGTTGCTATCATTATTATACTTGTTATCGTTATTGAGAGTATATAACCAACTTCATTTCTTTTATGCAAATCTAATATCACTCGGTTCACACTCCTTCTCTGTCTCTTGATAAAGTGTAGAAGTTTATCCATTGTTTCCAGTTTAGTATCGGATTTGCTGCCCCTTCTCCTAAAGTCTTTACAATCTCTTTCACCCTCAGCAACCCCTTACGTTTTAGTGGCATTATTGCCTTGCTTGGGGTTGAAATGATTAAGAAAAATAATAAATACCTGTTACACTCAGCAAAATTAACTCTTTATCAAAAACAAGTTAATTATATAATATTTAATAGTAGTATTGATGGTCGTCGCTGTATCATTATTATTATTATTATTATTAATAATAATAATAATAATAATAATAATAACAATAATAATAATAATGTTTTCTCGTTTATCATAATCTAAATGTTAGAATATTTTAGTTCATGTGTTTTAACGTAACAACGTGCCGTGATTTCTATCGATATTAGCCATGCAATTTTAAGACACAAACTGACCAAAATGGCGCGTTTTTTTTTAATACATAAACATACAAAAAGAAAAAAAGCCACACAGCGAAAAATAAGTTAGTCGCACTAAAAAAAGGAATCATTCAAATAAAATATTAAACAAAATTAAACAAAAATATTAAACAAAATCTAAGCAAAAATTAAATAAATAAATAAAACTGAAATCAACAAATTTAATGTTACTTTTAAAATTCAAAGTTTTGTCTATTTGAAGTGAAGTGAAAATGTTATTTTTTCGCATTCTTCGGGATGGCAAAAAATTTTAAATTGTTAAATTTTCGTTATGAAGTATTTTTTTCCCTTGCGAACTGGTAAAATTAAAATAATTCAACTGCTCAAATAATTCCTATTCCATCACTTAAATAAAGATTTCTTTTCGCTTCTACATTTGAACTGATGGCGTCTTTAAATTTTAAATTGACAATTTAATTTATTATCTCCTTCGATAATAGGTTTGTTTGTATTGATATCAGTGCGTTTGATTCTTTTTTTTTTTTTTTTTTGTCTATATCCATCTGTTCTAAATTTGTACATTGTTTTATCATTTCATCAATGTATTTTCTAAATTTATCTAAAGTATCGCTCTCTCAGCGAAATCTCTTTGTATGTTTGTCAATTCATTATTCTCAATCTGTTCATAAGATTTTTAAATCTAATTTTTCCTTTTCTTTTTCCTCCTATCGGAATCTCTGTTTTTCTGTCTATCTCAATCTGTTTCTATCCGTCTGTTTATTTATCTATCACTTTGTCTCCCAGTCAACCTGTCTGTCTGTTTGTCTGCCCGTCTACGTGTATGAAGGACGTGACAGAAGTCTAGAACGTGGGAGGATTTTTCAAAGGAAGTCGACAGTGGAAGACTAAAGAAGGCAAGACGGATGGACGGTAATAAAAACAACAATTCCCGAAAGGGAGCAAAATTTCTAACTTGCTGAATCCATTCATTATTTCCAATCAAGTACAAATCATGAAGCACACACACACACACACACACACACTCATACAACACACACACACACTCATACAACACACATAAGTATGAACTGAATAAAAAATGGATTAAATCCTACAGAATGATAGAATAATGAACAAATAGGAAAACGTTTATAAATTTAACATGTTTCGATTTTATATAAGCTTCTTCAGAAATTTATGATGATTTTTTTTTAAAAAAAATAATTTCAACGCAAACAACGCAATAGAGCCCCTAAGACGCAAGGGGGGAGAATATATATAAAAAAAGAAAACATTATTAACGAGAGAGAACAATAAAAGAATAAAAATTAAAAAGACAGAAGATAACGATTGACATTGCATCTAAACTTTTGATGATCAAACTTGACTGGAATGCAAGAGACCGGAACAGCGCTTGACAAGTGAGAAATGCGAGAGAAGAAACTGTTAGCATAGAACTTACGGTTTCCATCTAGCCATTTCAACTGTAAAATAATCAGACCTAGCCGCTAATCTGGTACTGCGCTTAAATTCATAAAGTCTAGGATTGATTTGCTTTTGACGGCTTATCAACATTTTGCAGGTTATTTAAAGCCAGAATATATTTTAGACTGTAAGAATTTTTTGAAGATAATAATGATTTTACTGATATAAGTCCTACTAATTAACTGAGAGGAGTTGAAGAGACGGACCCATGTCTCTCCCAAGGGTATTTGCGTAAGTTAATATAACTGGGTTCTCTGATTTTCAATTTCGAGCCGTTATCCATTATACCACCCGCACGTCCAAAGCTACAGCACCTAATAATCCCAAGTGGTCACCCATGTAGGTACTGGTCAGGCTCGGCTTTACTTAACTTCGTACGTTAAACCAGTATTTCAATGTGATATTGTCGTAAGTTTGGGTACTCAATAGAAAAACTTATCAGACCAACTACCATGGAAATATTTGTAGAAAAGGCACAGGGAAGCTATGGTACGTCGGTGGGAAAAGTGATTTGTTGAAGCTAGGAAAACGTTTATAAATTTGACATGTTTCTCTTTTAAAATAAAAAGAGAAACATGTTAAATTTATAAACGTTCTCCTATTTGTCCATTCTTTAATCACGTATCTATACAGATGCATTATGAAAAAAAAAAAAAGAGCCTAAAATCATGAAAATGAAAATAAAACGATTACGGACCTAAAAGTGGTTAAAAACGTAGACATATGACAAACGTAAACATCAAATATTGACGAATCGAATAGCAACCAATCTCGAATTATAAAGAAACTGTTACAAATCAATATAATAAATAATCCCTATGAATTAAATGCATATATAGATAATAGTATCTGTTAAATGTATATTTTACATAAAAAATATCCTGAAATATTTTGTTGTTCATTCATGGCCGATGACAAAAGAAAAAAACTGAGCCACTCATAAAAAGCCATTAAAAGATAAACATATTTTTGTTTCTTTGTGTCTGTTTATTGAATTTCTATAAAGATAAAAATAAAATTTAATCATAAATATACGTATAAACGCATAAAACTAAACATGTTCTTTGTACGCGTTCATATCTTTAAAAATATTTATTAGCAGACGTATGTTATGAATTCTTCTTATGAAATATTACACGCTGAAATTAAAATATGTTTACCACTGTGTGTGTGTGGAGGGCACTTTACGTGGAGTAATGACTAGCAAGCTTGTCTCGCTAGAACAATTACGATTGAGTAGTTCGATCCGCACTGGGTGACTTATACTTTCGGTCTTACGCCACATCTTAGAAAATCATCTGTGTGTGTGTGTGCGTGTGTGTGTGATTATACGTGGTATTAAAATGTTCTACTTATATATTCTACTTATATATGCTAGTAATGCAATTTTGCCATCAGACATAAAACGCCTATCTTTCTATCTATCTTGTACATTTGGGTAGCAAGCCTTATGTTATGTATGCTTTGTCAATTATAATGGACAAGGTACATCTTGTAAGTTTTTTTGTATATATTTATTTTTATTTTTATTAGTGTGTGTATGTGTGTGCGCACGCGCGTGTGTGCGGATAATTTCTCCACACACTCACACCTCAAAAAAGAAAATCCACAAGCACACACATACACATAAACACACACACACACATATATATATTTGTTAGGAGACGTAATTTCTTTATTGTATGTACGATACTTATCGAAGATCAACTTAGTTTCAATCGGAGTTTTTATTCAGAAATTCTATTTAATTTGATATACGTTTAAAAAATTATATAATTTATTTAATGTATATTATTTTTAGTATTAATTACTATCATTTTTATTTTTATACATATATGTGTGTGAATATTTTGAAAATATGTAAAATTATGTGTGCGCGAATAAATAAATTTATATTTATGTCTGTGAATATTTGTGTATGTATGTGTATTTGTGCGTGTGAAGATGAATGTGTAAGTACAAAAATATATCAATGACCGTGCGATTTAAAAACGAACTTTTTTTCTTTTTTTTTTGTGCACGTTCATTAAGCAAAACAAATAACGACAATTAAGAATAATAATTTAATTGTGGTTGCTATCAATTTCCAAAGCAATAAACACAAAAAATAGGCCTCCTTTTACGGCCAGGGTCGTAAAATCCTAACAAAGAAGAATAACAACAACAAGGAGAATCGTGACAATAACAATAACAATTAATTGGTGGCTCACCTCGTAGGGAACAGGACTGAAAAAGAAAAAAAAAAAAGAAAAAAAAAGCAAACTTGTAACACCTCGACAATCGTTCCATTCGGCTGTTGCTGCTAACGCTGCTGCTACTGCTTATGCTACTACTGCTATTTGTTCTATGTTGCCTAAAAAGCACGTTTCACAATTGTATTTCAACATATATTCCTATTGTTAGAAAACACTCTCTTTTACAAGACAACTATGGTATTGGTAACTAAAGGGCTGGTAGAATGTATGTCTATAAGCGGATTATTATTATTATCATTATTATTATTATTATTATTATTATTATTATTTTATACAGCATTAGGAGCTTTAAAGGTCTAGTGACAGCAAGTCCGTTCGATACTAGCATTCTTTTAAGTACACTGATTTCGCTAATGGGATTATCTGAATGGCTTCGATGGTTTTCGGACTTTTAATCTTTGTACTCTTTTTTTTTCCTCGGGACTGATTCAAACCATATTATTATTATTATTATTTGGAATAAAGAAGAGTGAAGGCTATCAAGTTGTTACTGTTGTTCTTTCTGTCTAATGGGGTATATATATATATATATATATATATATATATATATATATATATATATATATATATATATACCAACTGTGAGGTAAATTTAGGCAACAAATATCCATCAAACAAATTTGATTTAAAATGAACCGATATGATCTGTTTGCTTCATTTTGTTGTATTTACAAATTTCACACCTTATTAGAAAATTGATTCATTTTTATTGTGTTCTTCAAACAATACAAATTAAACAGACAGACCTTTTTTCGGTTCTTTTAAATCAGATTCCTTCAGATATATGCACACATGCACAAGGACAAACACACACATATACATTTTTCTAAAGATTTCATGGATTCATATATATATATATATATATATAGATAATATTAGTGGAAAATATACATACATATGCAAAATATATATAAAAAATTCCCATACATGTATATTTTCAGAAAAAAATTTTCCAAGAGGAAGGATCCAGGTAGAACTCAATGTCTAGGACAGAGTAAGGATATAATACGATTCCAATGGAATAAATTATGACCATGGAATATTAGTGTTTTAAGCCTTTTTATTATATATATATATATATATATATATATATATATATATATATATATATATATATATATATTTTTTTTGAACAAAGAAAAATATTAAAAATAACATTTTCAGACACTAGGTTGTAAATTAATATTTTTGTTTTATTGTTTCAAATAGGTTCCTCGACTAGTTTCAGCCAGCATGACCATCATCAGGCGAAAAAAATCTCTACATTATTATTTTCTAAAGAATTGAAAAAAATAAAAAATAAATCTATTTATATATGTATTTCTAAGGAGTTTTATATATATATATATATATATATATATATATATATATATATATATATATATATATATATATATCAGGAGGATAATATATTTAATAATATATATATTATCCATCACCGATAGTACGACTATGCAGAACACAATCTTCAGATGATGACATCAGGCACTGTTTTATTAACACCAGCACTATACGTGCGATATATTATAATCTATAAGTAGTAATGGATGTATATATATATATATATATATATATATATATATATATATATATATATATATATATATATATATATATATATATAATACCAGTTCAGTTGAAGAGATAACATTATTCCTGAAATAAATTAATGAAGATGAATTTTTAATATATATATATATATATATACACCTGTTTAATATATATATATATATATATATATATATATATATATAAAGGAATTAATGGTTTTATTTTTTATCCGATATTTTTATGATTTCAAATTTTATTATATTGGATATTCGTATGTCAAATAGAAGCCCCTTTTTATTTTTTACTTTTTTAAACTGAGTGTATCCTCTTTTTTCAGTCTATGTATTCGAAAACATTTTCTTTATTAAGCATTTATGAATACACAGACAGTTTAAAATAAAAATAAAAAATGTGGCGTTTATTTCAAATACGAATATGCAATATAATATTTTTTGATATATACATGCATACATACATACATACATATATATGTGTGTGTGTGTGTATATGTATTCATTAGGTTACTGTTCCATGTGAATAGTTATTTCAGCGGAGAGACGAAAAGATAAATCGATGAAGATGTAATGAAAATGAGAGAGTCTCTAATGAGGAATTGGTTAATAGTGACGCATTAAGGGGTGGAGTAGAGTAGAAAGTAGGAAACGTTCGAGTTAAAATTCGAGCTGGCGGTGCACGAAGAAAGTTTCGAATTAAGAAAAGATTATCTCCGCTAATCTGGTAGCTTTTTTTTATTCACAATAACCATATCTATCTATCTATCTATCTATCTATCTATCTAATTCTGTTAATATCTCTCTCATTCTGCTCATATCTATCTATCTATCTATCTATCTATCTATCTATCTATCTATCTCATTCTGTTAATATCTCTCTCATTCTGTTCACATCTATCTATCAATATGTGTGTCTGTGTTCTTATATATCTGAATCTAGCTAGCTAAATATGTTCTTATCTGTCTGAATCTGTTATCTATCTATTTATTTATCTATCTAAATAATGTAATTTTTCTTTCTATCTACCTACCTATTTATATTTATATATATATATATATATATATATATATATATATTCTTGTCTATCTGAATCTGATTTCTATCTATCTATCTATCTATCTATCTATCTATCTATCTATCTATCTATCTATCTATCTATCTAAATAGTCTAATTTCAGTCAATCTATCTACCTATCTATCTAGTTAGCTATCTGAATCTGTTCTTTTCCACATCATAATTTTACTTACTACATACTTTAACATGGCGCAAAAATTAACACTTTTTGATAATTAATCACAATGGCTGCAGAGTTCAATTTTCTTTTCATCTATGTCTGTGCGCGTCCTTGAGATTTTTTAAAATCTGTAATATATATATATATATATATATATATATATATATATATATATATATATATATATATATATATATTAGCAGTGCCAGTTGACGTTAGTTGACAATGTGATAATTAGAAGTCTATAACTGTCGCTTTATACCTGCTTACGTAACCTGTTGATTTTACAAACAATAATCGACTACAATGGCTATCTTGAATCAATACATCTCTTGTTATGCTGCATTTTTTTTTCTTGCTTTGGTCATAATAGACAAAATTCTTGAGTTCTTCCATTTTTTCTTTCACACTTCATTCACCTATATTAATCTGTCTCTCTGTCCTTTACCTGCTTCCTCTCTCTGTGATCGATATATATTGGTCTTTCTTCCTCTCCAACCACTATCTATCTATCTATCTATCTATATCTATCTATCTGTCTGTCTGTCTATATATCTATCTCAGCGTGTTCATATATATATATATATATATATATATATATATATATATATATATATAGTTATCTGTCTCATATTCTATCTATTTCTATCTATATCCATCTCAGCGTGTTCATATCTATCTTGCTGTCTCAGAATCTATCTATCTATCTATCTATCTATCTATCTATCTATCTATCTATCTATCTGTCTGTCTGTCTGTCTGTCTATCTCAGTGTGTTCATATCTATCTTGCTGTCTGTCTCAGAAAATCTCTCTCTCTCTCGCTCTGTATATATATATATATATATATATATATATATATATATATATATACATATTTATATATATATATATATATATATCATCTCTATCTATCTATCTATCTATCTGTCTGTCTGTCTGTCTATATATCTATCTCATCTATATATATATATATATATATATATATATATATATATATAGTCATCTGTCTCATATTCTATATATATCTATCTCAGCGTGTTCATATCTATCTTGCTGTCTCAGAATCTATCTATCTATCTATCTATCTATCTATCTATCTATCTATCTATCTATCTATCTGTCTGTCTATCTCAGTGAGTTCATATCTATCTTGCTGTCTGTCTCAGAAAATCTCTCTCTCTCGCTCTCTCTGTGTGTATGTATATATATATATATATATATATATATATATATATATATATATATATATATAAATATATATATATATCAGCTTCTATCTATCTATGTATCTATCTATCTATCTATCTCAGCATATTCGTATATATGTAGGTATCTGTCTCAGAATCTATCTATCTATCTATCTATCTATCTATCTATCTATCTATCTATCTGTCTGTCTGTCTGTCTATCTCAGTGAGTTCATATCTATCTTGCTGTCTGTCTCAGAAAATCTCTCTCTCGCTCTCTCTGTGTGTATGTATATATATATATATACATATACATATAAATATATATATATATCAGCTTCTATCTATCTATGTATCTATCTATCTATCTATCTATCTCAGCATATTCGTATATATGTAGGTGTCTGTCTCAGAATCTATCTATCTATCTATCTATCTATCTATCTATCTATGTATGTATGTGCTTTTTCCCGTGTATGCTTTCTTCTATGTGCCTTACAAAATGCCTCTTTTGCAACCTTCGTAAAACACCCAGCTATAGTCTCGTCGGGGTACGCCTCTTTCCATCCATTCCAGTGTTTTGACAACTCTCCGTCCGTTCATTGAGTTGACGACTATTGCTTCTCGGCCTCGTTTTGCGTGGATTGATTTCTTATTCTTCCTGAACTTTTTCCAGTCGATACAGCATGGACGGAGAGGCCGCTACAAATAAATGAATAAATAAATAAATAGAAATTACGGGAAAATTATTTCTCAAAGAAAACAACACAAAATCTCTAGAAAAAAAATAAAAGAAAGATAAATTTACAAAAATAGAAAATTAAATAAAACTAAAAGAAAAAAAATAAAACTAAATGGTTAAAAAAAAAAGAAGAAAAAAAAAAAAAGACAGAACTTGTTAATAAATAAGAAAGAAAAACATCGGCCGAAACAAGAAAAGAAAAGGCAGTAAGAATTAAATCCAAATAAATAGAAAAAAGTGATGAAGAAAGGATGAGAAATAGAAAAGGTAATAAAAGACTTGTTCGCTAGCGAGTATGACCAGCATTGACAGCAAGAAAGAAAAAAAAAATTACAGATACCCGCTAGCCACGCCCTCGTTACTTAATTTTTTTTTTTTCTTTTTTTTTTTTTTTTTTTTTTTTTTACTTTTTTTCTTTTTTTAAGGCAATGGCTTCTCTTATTGGTCGGTTTTTTTCTGTAAATATTAGCATTGCTGGCGTACCGGGAATTCTTGACGTTATTAATGGATCCGACTCGCCAGCCTGTCGGCCAGCCTGCCTGGCGAGCAAGCAAGCTAACAATTCTACAGGAGTGAAAACAAGGACCAAGCATATAAACGGCTATAAACAGCATTAGCCACAACGGCATTGGCAGTTTTCGTCTCGGAGAAAACACACACACAGACATATACACAAACACACAAGCATATGAAATAAGTTGTATTAAAAGTAAAGCGAAGCATTATACAGGGACATTCAGAATTTTTTGTATATTTAAGGATATTTTCTTTCTGTCTCTCTATCTATCTCTCTCTCTCTCTCTCTATCTATCTATCTATCTATCTATCTATCTATCTATCTATATATGTACACCTGTTTGAGTAGACATATGTTGTTAAAAGTATCGATAATGAAAATACGTCTCCCTAACAAATATATATATATATATATATATATATATATATATATATATATATATATATATATATAGTGATTTTCTAAGCGTAGCTTAGATGTAGCACAAGGCCGAAAGTATGGAACACCCAGTGAGGATCGAACTCACTACTCAGTCGGAATTGTTCTAGTAAGACTAACAGGCTAACCATTAAAACCGCACCGAGGTGTACCATTATATATATATATATATATATATATATATATATATATATATATATATATATATATATATATATATATATATATATATATATATATATATATATATATATATATATAAAAATTCATCAAAAGATGGCGCCGTAGTTTGTTTTTTTTTTCGGAGGGTGGTTGTTGTATAACCAAAGTACTTTTTTCAAAAATCATCTTCAGGGGCAAATTACAAAGACAAAATTATTGTAACTTGGATGAAATCTGCATTTCATTATCGCAGTTACAGTAAGTTCGTCTTTGGAATTTACCCCTGAAAATTTAGAAAAGGTCGAATGTACTTGGGTAAAAAAAAAAAAATGCTAGATGAATTTCATCTTAACATGAAGAAGCTGATTAGAGGACTGGAAAAGGATCTGCATAAAAATAAATAGACAGAATATATAATATGTTTAAATGAAGATATGCTGCCTAAATACACACACACACAGAGACATATATATATATATATATATATATATATATATATATATATATATATATATATTTATTTGGGGCAATAATCTCTCTTTTATTCGAATTTCATTAAAGATGACTTATAAGGTACTACGATAAATAAAAAGCTTTAATATGAAGCTTAATCGCAGTACTTTAATGAGACTTATATATATATATATATATATATATATATATATATCCTTACTCTGTCCTGGACATTGAGTTCTACCTGGATTCTATCCTCTTGGAATTTTTATTCAAAAAATATATATGTATGTGTATGCATGTATGTATATATATTTATATATTTTAGATATATGATTGCATATGTATGTGTATATTAACCACTAATAATATTATATATATATATATATATATATATATATATATATATATATATATATATATATATATATATATATATAACAGCACTCGTGGCCTGAAGATTGCGTATAGCATGAAACAGACTGTCGCCTCTAAGTTTTGACATCTATGTTCCTTTTATATTTACATACGCTCTATCTCTTATATTGAGCACTTTATCCTATAAATATAGCACATCTTATGACAATATTTCTTCATATATATATATATATATATATATATATATATATATATATGGCGGCGTGCGTTCGTGTTTCATTAAAATGAATATCGTACCACTGTTAATTTTTATTGTAATTTTTGTATGCGAACTAGAGACTAATTTCTCGGACTTAATGTGTCTATAAATTGACCATTTGTGTCTGTGTGGATAAAACGCGTTATATAACGCTTTCCGACTTTATCACTTATTTGTCTCACACTGTTCTGATATATAGAAATTTATATATAATATTCTCCAATATATATATATATATATATATATATATATATATATATATATATATATATTGTGTCCCAAAAATGTACACACACACTATAAATAATTATAAAGTAAGTGTTTCTTAAAACACACTTCATTTTCAAAATTAAATAGAATCAACTGACATTCAGTCAGTTATGCGTGATACACGCTTAGGCGTTCATGTATCTTTCGATACATGACTGACGAAGCAGTTTTTTTCCCGCAGAGGGTTGGCATTTCTTTGCTAGACTAGTTGTCATCCAAGGCTACACAACTCGGTCTTTCTTGCTATTTACCCATAGTTGGGGGTAGAAAATAAGGATTCATACCTTTTCCAAGGGAATTAGCACGTAAGTGAATGTAATGGATTCCACCGGAATTCGAACTCGGATCTCCAATTCCTCAATCCGAGGCGCTATCTATTACTATACCGTGACTACAGACATTATTCTATTGTTTTGTCGACGCCTGATTTCTAACTGGTGTCCGTTCTGTTCCAGGAACTGCTGACAATCGCAAATATCACCAAACATTTTGTTTGGTATTTTTGCGCATTGTCGTTCAATGGCTGCTCCCAATCCAGCGACTGCTGCAGGTTGCATAGCGTAGACTTTGTCCTTTAAGTATCCCCATAAAAACAAAATCTAGTGGGGTGATATCTGGTGAACGCGGAGGGTATTCAAGGAAACCCCTTCGTCAAATTCACCTGTTTGGCAAGATCTCCTTAAGGTATGATCTAACATTGTGATGGTAGTAAAATAAAACTCCGCATCTTCAAAGTCCTCAATAACACTTGGCATGACAAACTATTGCAGAAAGTTCAAATAAACGGGACCAGTCACAGTAGCGTAAAAAAGAATGATCCAGTTAATCCTCTTGATGTTAAACTATATATATATATATAGTAATTAGTACCCAAAATTTTCGTCTCACTAAAACATTGAAATGGAGATATTCTGTATTCGTTTTTCGACGGTTTTCTTTGTAGTTGTCACAGTTGAATTTCTAATTTCGACACGAACTCAGTCTATACTGGGGTTGAATAAGACTGACGAATTTTTCGTCGATTGAAATAAGCCTATTCCCCATATGAGGTAATTTTAGGTTTTATTGTGTACCAATTATTTGCTCTGCCATAATAAATACATTGAACTCTTTTTGTGGGTCATTTTTATTGTTTTATATTACTAAGATCCACTTGGATTATATACCAACGGATTTATTACCTTTATTTATTACCTTTACAACATATATATTTACATACATATATATATATATATATATAAAAAGAGAGTGAGAAAGTGAGAGAGAGAGAGAGAGAGTACCACTCCCCGAAATGTTCGATATTAAGGGTACCGTTCGGATTCAAGGAAGAAAAGGCTACTGTGGCAAGCTAAATTTTTATTAAGTTTTAGAGTTTAGGATACAAAAAGTAGTTTGTAACGTTGATTCGTTTTTATTTAAAGTGTAAATTGAATACATAAATTTACAAAAAAATAATTGACAACCAATTGTAATGAAAACATTTGTGCTAAACACATATTGTAATTTGTAAAAAACTAACAGAGTTTATGAAATGTTTAGAAATTTATGAAATATCTTATTCAAAAACAATTATAATCTGCAAAGGAAGACAAAAATAAGGATATATAGTACAATTCCTCGAAACCGAATATCCAAGATGTTTGATATTGAGGGTAATGTTTTGGTACGAGGAAGAAAAGCTTTCATATTTATGCCAATACAAAATTTCGGATTTAAGATATGTACAAATTCTAATTCGGAAGTCTAATTCTATCTTCGTGGAAGTCTAGATTATATATATCTTCGTATATATATATATAATATATATATATATATATATATATATATATATATATATATATATATATATATATATATATATATATATATATATATATATATATAGTAGTAATCCGTTGGTATAATCCAGTCGAGACCTATTAACACAACATTGAATTTGAAATATGTTAAAATTGATTTACAAATGATCGCTCAATGTCTATTTTCATTAAACAGGAAAATTTTCTTTACAATTAGAATTAAAATACCTTTAGTAAATGACACTTTTCACCTACGAATTTTGATTTAAAAATTCGCAGGATTTATTAAACTGTTTATGGTGTCAGTTTGTGTACACTACAAACTGATACCATAAACAGTTGGAAAAATCCTGCAATTTTAAAATTAAAATTCTTAGGGAAAAATGATTATTTACTAAAGGTATCTTAATTCCAATTGTAAAATATATATATATATATATATATATATATATATATATATATATATATATATATATATGTATGTATGTATATAAATAAAAAAGAAAGAACAGTAAAATATTATTTTTGAAAAATGGTTAGAACTGTGTAGCGAAAAAAAACATATATTAAATCAAAAAAATACATCCCTACCCACTACCAAAACGTAGCAATAACTGATACATTAAAATATAGACATACTGAACACCTGTCTAGAAAAATAGATTTATCTGTAACCGTGGAAACATGAATTTTGTTTTAGCTGTGTATTTAAAACCCAGTAATTTTAAAAGTTACTCCAAAATTCGCTTAAGGATGAAATGGAACTAATGTCTTTAATTTAATTACAAAATTAAATTCGGGGCTTTTAGCTTCCATTTTTGAAACATGGTTAGAACTGTGTAGCGAAAAAAACCATATTTAAATCAATTAATTTATAATATATATATATATATATATATATTCTCACGTTCACAGCATTAATTCAATGAAGGTTCAATACCGATAGTAGAGCAATAATTGTTTATTATATTTTTTCTACTTTCTTATATATCTCTCTACTAATCTTAGATTCTGATACTTAAAATACTTTTTTGCGCATATATATTACTAATAATACTTTCAGGTAAATTGATTTACACCCACACTTACTCTACACGTTATACAGTCCGACAATAGGTCAAAATTTGCTTATAAAAGTTATATTAATATCCCATACTTTTATATACCTTTCTACTTATATCTTTATTTCTAAATTAAAACTTATGTTTTATTAAACTCGAATAACTTATGTATTCAACATAGCAAGAAGAAATCGTCACGTCCTAATTTATTATTTTACAAAACTCTTTTATTGAATATAAAACTAGAAGTTATAACTCCAACCTAAATATATGCAATTCAGTTCTGGCTTACTTTTTAAAATACCCACCCCCCAAAAAAACATTCACAATTACTACTACAGTGTAACCCGGATATAAGAGAGTTGTCGAGACCAGAGAATAAGTCTCTTATATCCGGGTTTCTCTTATATCCGGGTTTGGTCTGTTTTATATACATTAACACAGGCTCTAATTTGGGACCAGAGAAAATCTCTCTTATATCCGGGTCTCTTATATCCGGGTTACACTGTATAACTATCGTTTGA